AACTGCGAGATCATGACCTCTGCCAAAGTTGGACACTCAACCGACTGAGCCACCTGGGTGCCCCGTGTATTTTTGTACTTGAAAAATGTCTTCCCCAGCAACCCTGAGCAGATTTTCCATCTGGACAACCTTCTCATGTTAAAAAGCTTATGTTTAAGAAAATCATGTTACAGAAGCAGAATGTTTATAGAAGTGACTTTTCACACAGAAGAGTCCCCTTGATCCATTCAAGTGGTACACATCAATTTGCTCCTTTAAAAATTTTTTTAAAAATATTTTATTTATTTCTGAGAGAGAGAGAGAGAGGGAGAGAGAGAGGGAGGGAGAGAGAGAGAGGGAGACACAGAATCTGAAACAGGCCCCAGGCTCTGAGCTACCTGTCAGCACAGAGCCCGACGCGGGGCTCGAACCCACGGACCGTGAGATCATGACCTGAGCTGAAGTCGGACACTTACCTGACAGCCACCCAGGCACCCCTAATTTGCTCCTTTTTACTGGAGAGTAGCGCCCACTAGCGCAGCTGTGCCGCAGGTCATGTGACTTTACTAACTGGGTTGTTTCCAAGTCCAGGCTATTCCAATTAAGGCTGCTAGGAACGTTAAAAAAATTTTTTTCTCACTTTTCAGATCTAACACGGTCAGTACTAATACCTGAAATCCACGTAAGGGAAACTTCTTCGGGTTCCTCAATAAGGTTATGGGTGATAGGTGTCCTGAGACCAGAAACTGTACGTGACCTGTGGCTCGAGGCCACGCTGCCTTGTGCGGGACACGGAAGCGTGACAGCCACCGTGGGGAGTGGTCGGGGGCGGGTTACTCTGTGGGGGGGGCTCTCCTGGTGGATGCTCAGAAGCCCCCATGTGTGGGAATGCCCGGTGCACCTGCCGGGGCCGTGCCGGACATATGCGGGCCCCCAACTGTCCCTGCCAGAGCTCCCCTCGGCCCCCCGCTCTGTGCTCAGCCCCGACCCCGGAGCGGACACACACCCTGTTCTGTGTCCCAGCAAGCTGGCCGCTGCTGCTGCTGCTTGGGGGGCGAAGGTCCAGCGGGTTCCTGGCCGGATCCGGGCTGTGCTGGAGGCCTCAGTACTAAGCAGTCTCTGTGGAGTCTTTGGGCAGCACTCGCGCTGAGCCGGGCCTTGTGCTGAGCCGGCACCGTGTCTCCCTTCTCCCTGAACCTCACACCAGCCCGTTGTGCTGATGAAGAACCTGGGGCCCAGGGAGCTTCCTGCTTGTCCTGCTCGTGGGCGACTCCCCCCCCCCCCCCCCCGGCAAGATCAGGAGAGAACGCACATGCAAAAGTCACACGCTCCGGTGCCCGGTAACCTGCGGCCTCTGCTGTGACATGACTAGCCAGGAGCTGTCATCTCTCATAGAACCCGGCCCTGGATCAGCTGGATCAGCAGCCCCGGGAGAGATTCTGGATTTCTGGGCCCGCCGTGGCCTAGTGACCCAGAACTCTGCCTTTGAGACTGGAGCACCTGCGCTTTCAGAGGGTTCAGGTGCATACCAGCCCTTGGCGTTCCTTACCTCAGGGGTTGGGGGCCACCCTGAACGCTCAGGAGATAAGACAGTGCTGGTGTCCCTGTTTGGCCAGCTCTTTCTCAGTAAGGTGACCCTGTAATTTGTTGTCGAAACTACAGCACTTTTGAGCGTGAGAAGGGGGTACCACTAACAGCCATGCTCGCACATGAGGAGTAGGCCAGAACTTTGCTGGCTACTGGGAGAGTGTCCCTGTCGATCCGTTTGTTTCTCCTTTCATCTTCCTGATGACCTGGAGATGCCAGTCCCTTCCAGTGCGGATGGAGGAACTAAGAGCTGGGCGGGTCACTTCTGGCCACGCGGGTATGACCTTGGTCCTTGATTGCAAAGTGCCTCCTTGGATTAGCCGTCAGCGTCATCTCGCAATACCTGAGCACGGGGCCGGGGAGGGTGGGGGACTCCTAGTCTCGCTCTTTTGAATCTGGAATCTTCTGAAAACTAACACCACTTTTATAATGAGAAAAATGTACATTGAGGCTATAAAATGTGCTTCTAAAGAAGATAGCAGAGGATCCTGTCAGCAGAAAGGAAGAGTGTGCTGGGGGGTCTGTGCTGCCTTCTCTGGGTTTCCGGGGCTCCCTCTCGGGGCTTGGCTGTGACCCCTCTGTCACACAGAATAATAGATGTCCCTGTTGGTGCAGTGACAGAGGGGGTGGGTCGCTAAAAGCAGCTCACCCGTCCAAGCAGATGTTCCTTGTGGGCCGGTCAGTGTCCTTTGCCTTCTGATAGCCATAGGGGCCAATTTGATTAGTTTTTTTTTTTTTTTTAATATTTTTATTTATTTCTAGGAGAGAGAGAGCGTGAGCAGGGGAGGGTCAGAGAGAGAGGGAGTCACAGACTCTGAAACAGGCTCCAGGCTCTGAGCTGGCAATCAGCACAGAGCCCAACGCGGGGCTCGAACCCATGAACCGCGAGATCATGACCTAAGCGAAAGTCAGACGCTTAACCGACTAAGCCACCCAGGCGCCCCAATTTGATTAGTTTTGTGGCCGTTTTCCTCCAAGGAGGCCCTGCATGTGACAGTCTGGCTCTGTGGCACGTGGAGGGCACCGCAGGTGCAGAGGATACTTGAGGGAGGCCCACGGGTGTTGGTGCATGGGATACGACAAGCAACGGTGCCCTTGAGCCTGTGATGCCGAGGCCACTGAGTCCCCTGTGTGAAGGTTTGGGTGTATTTCTGGTTGAGACAGACGCTTAGCGGAGGGCATGCTGGCAGCGGGACTCACAGTCGGCCTCGGGCCAGTGCGCATCTGTCCCTGGCCGCCTCTCCTGCCCTGTCCTGCCCTGTGTGCCCCGTGGGCAGCCTCATCTCGTGCTGTAAGGGGTCACGGTTTGGCGGAAGAAGTGGCTTCCTGGTTTCCCTGGGGACAGGGGACGGCAGGGTGGCTGGAATGTGCTGGAAGCATCATCAGGAAACCGTGGTTTGTCTCTCCTTTCCGTTCTGTGTTCACAGGGAAGATGGAGACACTGAAAGACAAGACCTTGGAGGAGCTGGAGGAAATGCAGAATGACCTGGAGGCCATCAACCGGTTGGCCCTGGAGTCCCCTGAGGTAGAGCAAGGCTGTCCTGGGGCGCAAGGAAGAAGGAAGGCCAGCAGGTGGGACTGAGGCCCTGCTTCAGGACACCGGCCTGGGGGAAGCCTGGGCCACGTTCCTCTCCCTCTTCCGTGGCCTTCACCCTGGTTTGGATGAAGCCAGAGGAGCCCCCGAGATCGGGATCCAGTTCCTGGGCCCTCTGGGTGGGAGTTGTAGGGGGCGGTGCTAGGGCGTCCAGGGCCCCCATGTGACCTCGGGGGGACCCACCTGCCCCCAGAGTCCCCACGTTGTTGTTACAGCCTGACCCTGGAGGCGGTTTCTAAAGGTGCTGCTACTGTTTTGGAGCCGCCTCTCCCCAGGCGCCGTGTGTGGCCCTGCGTCTCCCGAGGGGCCATGCTTGGCCTGGGGTGTTGGCCTGTCTCCGGTTTGATCCTGTTTCCTCTGACACCTGGCACCTAACCATCTCCGCTCATCGGGGTCCCCATGGGACTAAACCCTTCCAGAAGTGTAGAGCTTTACACTTTGTAAAGGCCTTCCCTGCCCTCCTGTGACCTCGATCCTGCGACTTCCCTGAGAGGTCTGGTGCCTGGATGTGGCCGAGAGAGCTGCGTTTATGGCAGCCCTGCCCCGAGCGGCTGCTCTGAAGCTTCCCCCCGCCCCCCCCCCCCCCCCCCCCCAGTGCTGGGCGGAGGCACAAACACCAGCAGTGCTGAGCTCGTTTGATGAGCACTTGGAATCTATTTTTATTTTCACTGATGAACAGGTACAGATACGTTCTCCACAGAAGGGACGGCCACCCCGCCCGGCTTCTCCCTGCCTTCTGTAAGGGTGTGCAGTGAGGCCGTGTTCCCTTGCCCTTCCTCACCTGCGCTCTCACTGCCCGCCCCCCGACCTGCCCCTCTCCCCAGATGAGCAGTCTTTGGGGGGGGGTGTTGGGGATGGGGGAGGGGGCAGGGTGTGAAGAAAGGTGGGGGCACTCCATGGCACATCCTGCTGCCCTGAGCTTGCTGGGCGAGGACAGAAAGCAAAGCCTGTCTGTGTTGGCTAAGCTGCAAGCCTGCCTCTGTGGTCCGTTAGGCCATGACTGTGCCGGGGTCTGGCTCAGCTAGCATAGTGCCGGGCGTAGAGTAGGGTTTTTAAAAAAGTTTTAGAGACCGAGAGAGAGTGTGTGAGAGCAGGGGAGGGTCGGAGAGAGAGGGAGGGAGAGGGAGAGGATCCTAAGCAGGCTCCATGCCCATCCCACCACCCTGGGATCGTGAGCTGGGCCACAATCAAGAATTGAATGCTCAACTGGCAGAGCCACCCCGGCACCCCCAGCACCAAGTGCTGCTTGCCTCTGCCATGAGCGCAGGCTAGCAGGAGCCCCAAGGCCAGCTCTGGAGCACGTGGACCTTGGCCGACGCGAGCCTTCACAGAAGTATAACTAATTGGCTTCCAAGCCGGCCAGGCTGATAGGATCAAAAGCCCAAAGTGCAGGATTGCAGAAAACGTCAGCACGCACAACCTCTGGGACTGAAGGCAACTCGACCTACGTGGCTTGCAGCCAGCCCGCCCAGCCGATTGCATCATCAGAGGGGAAAACTCTTCCTGGGATCCGGGGGAAACGAAGTAGGTCAGGCTCCTCAAGCTTGCAAAAGCCCCTGGACTCGGATTCCAGCATGGTCTGTGAAACATGATTTTACACGTCGTCTCCGTCACCGCTGCCGCGCGGCCGTACACAAAGATGGGAGCTGGTTCAGCGTGGGGTGTGGACGCTGCTGGAGAAGAGAGGGCTAGTTAGCAGGTGGCCTCTGTCCACACAGCGCAGTGAATGGTGGGGGCGAGGCAGGCCGGTGAGCTCTTATGGGGGGGTGGGTACCAGAACTGTCTTACTGACCTCTTTTAAACAACAGCCAGAGGGCTTCATAGTGACCCCCTAGTGGAGGAAGATTTGGGGGAGGCTGTGGGAGAGGGGACAGAGACGCACAGGGCAAAGCGCAGGGCAGAATGACACAGCTTACATGTATTTGTTGGTTGAGACCCGGGGAAAAGGCAGTGGACACGTGACGGCCCGAGGACCTCTCTGAGGGGCAGCTGAGCAGAGGGCTTCAGGTCTCCCGCTCAGGAGCTTTCTGAGGGGCTCCAAAGAGTGTTCGTGGCTGCAGATACAAACGGCCCAGGTGTAGGGGCAGCTTGGTGTCACGGGGACACCAGAGAGACCACGGCCACGCCCCATGATCTCTAGACCCCTGTGGCTGCACTGTGGAGGGCAGACGGGTATGACATCCCTCTTCCCTGTCTGGAGCATGACAAGCAGGCTCCAGGCCTGCCCCTGAGCCCGGGTCTCAAGGCCCCGTGGAGGGTCCCTGTGGCCTGGTGGGGGACGAGTCAGTCCATCACGCGCTGAGCAGGGGGCCCTTGCTGAGCAGCGACCTGAGCCCCTTGCTGGGTGCCAAGCGCTATCTTCCAGTGCCACATGGCACTAGAGGTATACTGTCACTGCCTCGGGGTGGCAGGTCTGAGCCTCCGTCCTCGGTAAAGTGGACTCCCTTCCTCGTGGAGGGAGCTTCGTTCGGGTGAGAGCTGGTCTGGGAAAGGTCCCTGCGGCTGCGGCCTCAGCTGCTACAGTGGCAGCGAGGGACCCGGCTGAGGGCCAGAGCCCCGCTTGGCTTGGGGAAGTGCTTTCAGGGGACGACGTCCAGGGGCAAAGGCCGGCCTGGGGCTTCAGGAGGTTGCAGGTCACCCATATCGGTGGGAGCCTTCTGTTGGCTGTGAGCCTCCTCTCCGGGTCTTGTGGGACCCCTCTGTCAGCTCATCCGCAGGGCATGCCTTTGGCCTTGGAGGCAAGGACACATCTCTCCTGAGTCAGTGTCACGGTCTGGCCCTGCCTTTGTCACCTCTCAGAGCACCTTTTTTGGGGCTTCGTGCGCATCTGGCCTGTGGTTGGGCTTGGGCCACCTTCGTGCAGCTCACAGCGGGCCCCTTGCCTTTGAAGTTTGGGGAGAAGTGGTTCGGGAGTTTGCTCCCTTTCCCCCTAGAAAGCCTCGGACTTGTTCACATGAATTGGTCCACCTGCTTCCTGGAGGCCTGCGCGGCCCCCCCGGTGGGCCTGGTTCCCGCTCCCCAGTGGCCGCAGGCGAGCTGCCGACCGCCAGCGCGTTTTCCGCGTGGATCCGCCACGTAGGCTGTTGGGTGAGGTGCCTGGGTCACAGTGCTTTGCTCGAGGTCTGGACCCAGGTCCATGGGACTCTAGTCCGAGCTATTACTGACTTGTCCCATGGTGGGCGGTGAGCCCGCCGCCGTGGCGGGTGGTGGTGGTGGTGACGAGGGTTCTCACGGACCATGTCCTATTCCCTTAGGTCCAGGACCTGCAGCTGGAACGAGAGATGGCGCTGGCCACCAACCGCAGCCTGGCTGAGCGGAACCTGGAGTTCCAAGGGCCCCTGGAGATCAGCCGCTCAAACCTCTCAGACAAGTACCAGGAGCTCCGGAAGCTCGTGGAGCGGTGCCAGGAGCAGAAGGCGAAGCTGGGTAGGGGTGGCCTGGGTGGGAAGAGCTGCTGGACTAGGTCCCCGTCCTTGCCCCTGGACAGGAAGGGGCCAGCAGTGAGGGTGACCGTGCCCCCAGCCCCGTGCTAAGTGCTCTACGCATGTGGTTTTCACAGCAGCCTGTAAGTGTAGGTACCATTGTTCCTTTTTCGTAGATGAGAAGAATGAGGCTCAGAGTGAGTCAGGGACACGGCCAGGGTTACATGGCCAGGTTCGGGGTGGACCCAGACAGGCTGCATCCCGTGCTGGCGCTTGCACGTCCGCCAGCCCCGCTTCTACGTTTACAGGGCTGCTCCGGGCTCCTTGGCCCGGGATCTCCCCTTTGTGGAATGGGAGGTGCTCTCCTGGTCTGGACAGCGAAGAAGCTGGATGCCCAGAGAGTGTAGTAACTCTCCCCTAGGAGGCCCAGCAGGCTTGGCGCTCGCCGGTGGGCTCTGACGCCAACGTCCTCGCTTCCTGCTGGCATTGGCTGGCATTGGGGAGTTCATCTAGCCAAGGTCCGGGCTGGGCTTGGTGGATAGCGCTCCTCTCGCCTCAGGAAGGTGACCTCAGGGAACTGGGCCACACGGGGCTCCACAGCAGACCCCGGGGCGGTGGCTGGACCCCGGAGCACAGGGGTCACTCGGAAGGTCTTTGCCAAAACCTTAGCCTCCAGCCCCGAATCAAGAGGCACTTGGAGAACGTCGATCTTTCTGCCCTCCCTTCCAGAGAAATTTTCTTCGGCGCTGAAGCCAGAGACCTTACTAGACCTTCTGCAGATCGAAGGCATGAAGATCGAAGAAGAGTCTGAGGTAAGAGGGCCATCGTCCCCCCTCTTGCGGCGGTGGCAGCGGCTCCTGGAGCAGGAGCCCTTGGAACGAGCACCAGGTGTCTACAGAGTTGGGACGGGGCCTCTAGAAGGTGGCAGAGATGAATGACGCCATAGGTCCCGGTGGATGGGGACGACAGGAGCCTGGCCTCAGGGGCTGGAGCCGGACCCCAGGCCATGGGGCAGCGGGCAGACCCAGGTAGCAGGAGCTCCCAAGGACGGAAGCCAGGCCCCCAGCCCCTCCCTGGCGGCCCGGCCCCTCCGTTCTGCGTCCCTGGGCCATCTCTTCATCTGCGGGCGGACCGGCTCCCTCCAGTCCTTCGTGCTCTGGAGCACCAGGTCCTCCCAGCCTGGGCCCCGCCCTCGCTAGCAGCCAAGCAGCTAGGGTCCGTCCATTTATCCATCACGTATGTGCAGCAGCCACTGCAAGCCTGGCACAGCGCCAGGGGCGGGGGACAGCAGTGGCCACAGCAGCCCCTGCCCTCTGGGGCTGACCTGCTGGCGAGGGAGACCTGATACGCCAGCGAGCGCAGGTAGCTTGTGTCAGCGGTGATAAGGGCCATAAGGAGACATTCCCAAAGGGAGGCCAGAGAAGATAGGGGGTGCCCACCGAGTTGGGGGTGGGGGGAGGCGGCGCAGCTGGGGAACACGGGTGGCCTGATCCCAGGCAGGCTCCTGTCGTCACCAGACCTTTTGTCTTCTAGGCCATGGCTGAGAAGTTCCTGGAGGGCGAGGTGCCCTTGGAGACTTTCCTGGAGAACTTTTCCTCCATGAGGATGCTGTCCCACCTGCGCAGGGTGCGCGTGGAGAAGCTGCAGGATGTGATGAGGAAGCCCAGGGTTTCCCAGGAGCCGGCGGGTGATGCCCCTCCTCCACGCCCGCCGCCCCCGCCTCGCCCAGCCCCCCCGGCCACACCCCCTGTGGCCGAAGAGCCGCCACTGTCGCTAGTGCCTCCCTACCCTTTGCCCTATAGCCCGTCTCCCAGCATGCCCGTGGGCCCCACGGCCCAAGGCGCGCTCCGGCCGGCCCCCTTCCCGGTCGTGTCCCAGCCCTCCTTCTCCTATGGGGGGCCTCTAGGCCCCCCTTACCCGTCAGGCCAGCCGGGACCCCGGGCTGCAGCGGGCTACTCCTGGTCCCCACCAAGGGGCACACCTCCCCGGCCAGGCTACCCCATGGCCCCCACTGGTGCCTCTGGCCCCGGGTACCCCTTGGCGGGGAGCCGGGCCCCCAGTCCTGGCTATCCTCAACAGGCCCCCTACCTCTCGCCCGGAGGAAAACCTCCTTACCCGACACAGCCCCAGGTCCCGATCTTCCCAGGCCAGCCCCAGCCCTCCGGCGCCCCCCAGCCACCCTACCCCCCTGGACCTGCTCCCCCCTATGGGTTTCCCCCACCTCAGGGGCCTTCCTGGCCTGGGTATTAGACCCAGAGTCGGCCCTCGGCCCTTCCCTACTTCCACGTGTACCACACCCTTTGGCCCGCCCACCATTGAGATTCAAGGTTAAATTGGAAGTGGACTTGGGCTCTCCTTGTGGACCTGTGTCAGCACATGGGAGCCTTGGGGGAGCCCGGTCGGGAGCGTGCAGGCCTGGAAAGGCACCGGGCAGCGGTGACAGCCCTGCCGGTCACAGCACTTGGTGGCCTCCTGGAGGAAGGGAGCGCCTCCTTTCAGTGACCGGCTTCAGCGTTTCTGGTGCTTGCCAGGCGGGGAGCTCGTTGCCTCCCCCACGGGTGTCCGTGTGAGTGAGCAGGTGCGTGTGCTCGCAGACGTACCCTTGTGCTTGCCTCATGGACGCTGGAACCAAATGCAGTGATCTTAGTGACGTCTTAGGGGGTCTCTGGCCTCCGCTCACCCCCTCCCTCTCTCCTGGGATCTGGCACATTCACCCTGGTGCCTGCAGCGACAGTTGCAGCTCTGCATCTGTCTGGTCCATTCAGGGGTGGCCTGGAGCTAGAGTTGGATCGGGGAGGGAACAGTGAGGAAAAACACTGATTTTTAAATCACATAAAGCCATAATTGAACTCTGATAGGCTGATGTCAGATAAGCTTGTCCTCGTTGGTTTGGACGATGGCGGCAGAGCCAGAGTGGGGAGAAAGCCGGAGAGCGTGAAGGTGCACCCTGAATCTGAGGCAGCCTTGGCCAGGGGCAGTTGGGGGTGCCCCGGACTCCTTTAGGAACGCAGCAGCCCTCTTCTCTGGAGCCCTCCACTTGCCGCTGATTGTTGACGCCCACTCCATCCATCCTCTCCTTCTGCAGCAGCCCCCTCCCTCCATCTGCTGCCTCTGGTGTAACTCCCCAGTCCTGCACCCCTCCTAGGATGCACATCCGAGGATGCCCTGGCAGTGACTCCCCCAGTGGTGCTTTCTCAGCCACCGTCGCTATGTCAGAGTCCGCTCCTTTGCTCCCCTCTCGTCTTCAGAATGTAAAGGGCAGGGATTGTGACTCGGCGCCACCTGCAGCCCCCAGCCCCCTAGGGATGACAGGTGCGTTCAGTGATAACAGAGACAGTAGACCACAGGGGCGTGGTGCACAGAGTTGTTACCTTGGTTGGTCGCAGATGTGATCCAGGTCTCCAGGGTGGACCCTGGAGCTGCTATCAGCTAGGAAGTCATATGTGCCTTGAAATGTCCACTACTTGAGTACCCAGCATCTGGTGGGCCTGGGGTGCTGGGGGCCAACGAGGAAACTCGACCTTCCGGTGCCTGCCCCCCTCCCCGGCCCCCACGCACCATCATTGGGTGTTCGCGATGAGAGGCGCCATGCGCGCTGTTGGGTCCTTGCCAATTGTGCTTGCTTCTCGTAAGTTATTTATCAAGAGAAATCACTAATGGACTCTACTGGTTCGAGTGCTTCTGAACTGGATGACCGATCGCCGGTGTGTTTGTAAAATTAATTGCCATAATAAACTTCGATGGGTTACAAGTAGTGCCTTGGCTCCTCTAGTGGTTTGAGAAGTGAAGATGGGCGGCCAGGGGTGGGTGCGGAACCCTTCAGGATCACTCTCCGCTGAAAGGCCTCTTTGATCCCTGTCCGTAAAGCCTCGTCTATCTGGCTGTCCTCTCCTGAGCTGCTGGCCTCCCCTGCTCCTTAGCCCTGTGGCTAGGCTCTGCTGACCTTCCCTTTTCTCTCCTGCTCTCTGGTTTTCCATCCTTAGGTGTTCTCACACTGGGGCCTACATTTTTGCCTCTTCCTAGGCCAGAGCTTGGGCCATGCGGGGCCACAGGCCGCCATCAGGGGGCGTGCAGGGCTCAGCCTAGCGAGCCTGGCGTCGCATTCCTGCCACCTGCTGGGGGTGGGGGGGCGGGGGACAGGACCAGCAAAGATCTCTGGGCGGAGCTGCGTCAGGTTCTAAATGCATGAGGGCAGGGGCAGGGCCGAAAATGGCCACGCGCCCAGTGGTCTTCGGCCACTGCGTAACCTGCTCCCTCTCAGCCGTGAGCTCGGCTGGCTTTACCCCAGGGTTTGGAAGGGCATATTCTGCTTCAAGCAGGAAGGGCAGCGCCAGGGGAGTCAGGAGGCCAGGCTTCCAATGGGCCCTCAAGTCAGCCCTTCTGCTTTTCCTTCCCTGCAAAGTGACAAGGACAGGCTGCCTACATGTGACACACAGGGGTGCTGTGGATCGCCAGCACTGGATATTCAGCAGGGCCAAGTGACAGGCTTGTCTTGTTGGGTCCTTTCAGCAGCCCTTTGATCCCAGCTGTTAAGCCGGGGAGGAGACTGCAGGATGGGTGGGCCAGGGACCAGGAGGCCTAGCCTGGGGCGCCCGGGCAGGACCCACACCCGGTGTAACGACCCCCCACCGCAGTACCTCCTTTGTGGTACCTGAAGCGGCCTGGCCTCGAGAGTCATGCCCCTGAAAGGAGCCTGGGGAATCTAAGCCCACTTGAGAATCCCCGAGCCTGAGTCCAATTTTTATGACCTTTCCCCCTCCTGAACGCCGGTCGGTCCCGCCTTCACGACGCCAGGGGGTGCTAGAAGACAACTCGGGTTTGGAGGAAGAAGCTGAAAAACTCTGGCAACACAATCTCGTCCCTGGCTTGGCCTTGGCCCCAGAGTCGGGCAGGGTGGCGGAGGGCACAGAGGGGCTGAAGAGAGGAGGAGGCGCCATTTTCTGAGGACGGGCCTGATGGAGAGAAGCTTCAGCGGGTCGTCTGGGCACGGGAGCCCCTCTGCTCCTTGCTCTCCCTTCTCCCCAGCCCCCCCTCCTCTGCACCTTAGATCTCAAAGACACTCACCACTCACCACGCCTCTCCCCGCCCTGCATCCACATGTGAAATCACCAGGCGCCTTCCCTGCACCACAGCGGGCCTGCCCTTGCCGCAGAGCCAGCTGCCCAAGGACAACCCCCGAGTGTCACATTTAGAGCCTCAGAGTGATTCCTAGCTTTGGTGAGAGGGACACTTTGCTGAGTTAGGCGGGGCGAGGCCACTTGAAAGATGTGCTCTCGGCCAGCACGTTAGTCCCATTCAGTGCTCCCAGATCCTGGAGGCGTGACAGCCTCCCAGCTAGACTCGGTGCCATTATTCAGTGGCCTTTCCTCTCGGGTCCTCAGTTTCCTTGACTCCACTTGAGGAGAGTGCATGTGAATCATGGTGCACACTCACACGCCCCCCCCCCCCCCAAGGGTCAGGCAGGCAAGTTTAGGGCAATGGGCTGGGATGTGGGGGGACACACACAGTGAGAGCTACCCTCCCTGGCTGAGGGGTGGCCCCTGCCCTGCTCTGGCAGGCTGCTGCAAGGCAGGAGGGTGGACCCAAGGTGGCCCAGGTCGCAGTGACGGGGGGGTGGGGAGGGAGAAGGCGGGAGGGGCTGCAGCCCAGGAGCGACTCACTGGAGGGGCAGCACCAACCTTACAACCTGCGGGCTTTGTCTTCCTCTTCCTGCGGAGGCCGAAAGGTCAAGGCCAAGAGGGTTCCTATTCAACTGCCAACCCAACAGGTCTGTTTTGGAGCGCCCCACCCAAGCCTGCCACCACTTGGAACACAGTTTTCTAAAAAGACTTTTCTATTTTATACTTCAACGCAGCCCCTTGTGTGTGTTGGGGGGGGGGGTTGAGTGGGTTTTAAGCAGGCCATCGTTGTGCTGAGACCCTGCACGGTGGCCCAGCTAGGGAGTAAAGAGCTTTTATCATGAAAGGTGCTGGTAGGCGACATTAGGTGCCTCACAGTCTCTGCCCTGGAGGGGCCCGGGGCTGGGCTGCCCCCCCCCCCCCCCCCCCCCCCCCCCCCCCCCCCCCCCCCCGGCTACTTAGGCTACTTAGGCTTACGGGCTATTCTGAGCTGAAGGCGTCAAGATGCTGAGAAACTTTTGCCCCTCCCTGTACTCCAGGGAAGAATCTAAATTGGAGGTCCTTCCAGAATAAGTGTTATTGCCAGAGATAAATGTTATCCGAGCGACCCATCTGCACGGTGGGGCAAACATCTAATTACCGAACATCTGCTCTTCCTGTTGCCCCGTGACGTGCATTCGTTCGGTGAGGTCCCGGCACCCTACCCCCTTCTCCCAAGTTCGGAGCCCTCCGGGGGCCCATCTTGGGGATTTCCTCGCCTGTGTGGATTCCCGAACGTTCGCCCATTAAATCTTTCTCCCGTTGATCTGTATCATGTCAATCTGGTTCTGAGTCCAGCTCAAAGGACCTCCAGAGAGACAGGAAATCTTGCTTTCCAACAGCGCCCTCCCCCCCACCCCACGAAGGCTCTCCATTCCCTTTGGAGGATCCCTTCACCCTTGCCAAGTGTAGGGAGGTGAGTGGGTGCCTTGTCTCTGCATCCCTAGCATGGTTAGGGCCAGATCGGGGAGCTGGGCTTGGCCTCTGGGCTCTCACAGGACTCTGGGTCCTGAGCAGGGGAGGACGGGAGGCCCGGCTGGAAGGTTCTGGAACGCTAGTGTCCCCAGTTCCCCTGATTCTGTGCGCACCCCTCCCCCATATCCTTCTAGTAACTCCCTGTCGCCTTTTCAGAGTTGGCATCAGCGGCTTAGGCCGCAAAGAGCTGCTGCTCCCTGTGAACACAGTGACAGATCGTGTGCAGGAAGGGCCCAGACCCTTCTTAGGGGACTGGGCTTAGCGGGGCCCCGCACGGCCTCTGCCTTGACCAGACCTTCAGGTTCCCAGTGAGATGCCCCCATTCTCGCTCATCCTTCTTCTTGCTAAAGAAGCCCAGGTACCACAGGGTAACCTGTGTGTCTAGACGCTCTTGACTAGCAGAAACTGTTTCAGGTGAAGGAATGAAAATTATTTAACATCCAGGACCGTCCTGGCCCTGTTCTCTGACTCTCGGCTTGTTTGGGGCGCCTGGGTGGCTCAGTCGGCTAAGCGTCCGTCGTGGCTCAGGTCATGATCTCATGCTTCGTGGGTTCGAGCCCCGCATCAGGCTCTGTTCTGATGGTGCACAGCCGGCTTGGGATTCTCTCTCTCCCTTTCTCCCTGCCCGCCCCCCCCACTCGTGACTGCACACACACGCGCTCTCTCTCTCAAAAAAAGATAAACTTAAAAAAAAAAAAAAAAGAAGTTGCGGTGCCTGCATGGCTCAGTCGGTTAAACATCCAACTTCGGCTGCGGTCATGATCTCGCAGACCATGAATTTGAGCCCCACGTCGGGCTCTGTGCTGACAGCTCAGAGCCTGGAGCCTGCATCGAATTCTGTGTCTCCCTCTCTCTCTGCCCCTCTCCTGCTCATGCTATGTCTCTCTCTCTCTCTCTCAAAAATAAACATTAAAACTAAATACATAAAACAATTAAAAAAAACTAACTGTGATTGGCTGAAACCACTTTAGCTTTGAACTTTAAACCGCTGTTGGAAATAAAACTCCAAATTGGCTAGGATTTACTAGGTTCCCCTTTTGTACTGGGCAACGAGGTGGCAAGGTACCCTTTAGGCTTGGCAGCCAGCGGCCCCAGAGAAATCGTACTCTCTGTTAGGCAAGGCAGCTTGGGGGGGGGGAGGGGCAAAGGATGGCCACAGGGGGAGGGTGGTGGCAGGGCTCCCGCAGCAGGTGGCAGTGGCCCATCACACAAAGCAGCTTCGTTTCAGGTGTGAAACCCTCTGACCACAACAGCTGCACTGATGTCCCCAGAGGGGTCCAGTGGCCGGACCCTGGACAGAGGAGGCGAGGCCCTCTAGTTCTCAGGAAGTAGAAAAGCTGTTATTTACAAAGAACATATTAAAAATCCGCTAGAGACCCGAGCCCCCCACCCCCACCCCAGACAGAAGCTTCCTCATTTGTCCTCACTGGAGTCAGAATCTGAGGAGAGAGCCGATTCCCCTTCGACGCTGCTCCCCACGTGTCTGCTGGGAGGGCTCCTTCTTTCTGGGCTCTGCCTTTTAGGGCCCCCACACTCGGAGGGGCAGCCGAGCTGTTTTGGGGGTCCTCGCTGGGCCAGGCTCCCGCGGCATTCAGCGGCAGGGACGTAGGACACGTCTGAAGGCACCGTTGCCTCGGTCCCTTTTCTGGGTGGGGCAATTATTTCCAAGCGGCGAATGCAGAGTGTCCCCAGGAAACAGGTCTGGCTCTTGCTGTTCTCTGCCCGGTGCCTGGTTCTGTGGGGTGAGCAGGGAACTCGTCAGAGGAGGAACCCTCACGCCCTGGAGGTAGTTCGGGGAGGTGGGGGACAAGCCCCAAGCCTCCATCTGAAGGCAGGGACAGAGGCTTCCTGCTGGCAGCCCTAGAGGGGTGTAATTCACAGGGGCTCCCTTGCATGGCCTTCTATGGTGGGCTTTAGGAGGAGGGGTTAAGGTCGGCCATCATTCTGCTGTAATTGCCAAATCTGCGCCCATCCCCTAAATTGCAGATGTTTATTCTCTCTCTACGGGAGTCCAGATGTGCAGAGACCCCCCATCCTGGATGGGCTGCGCGGGCAGGAGGGGAGGAACGGAGGGCTGGTGCTTATCCCGGGGGCTTCTCGGGGCGCCCAGCGGGCCAGGGAGCCGGCCTCACCTTTCACAGCCTCTGAGCCCCGTGCAAATCGTAGTCACTATCGGAGGAATTATCAGGCTGGGTGGAAACGCGACGCAAGGCCCCTTCCAGAGCTGCAGGAAGAAGAGAAGCCATTTGCAGCAGGCTTTATCCCCCAGGCCACAGAGAGAGAGAGCCCAGAAGTCCGCGGGGGGTTGAGGATCACAGGGGCTTTATGAGCTTGTGGCTTGACAGTCCCGTATCTGTTTTGATCAAATCAGCCGGTGTTCACTAATGATACTGAACTCCAGGCTCCCTGGGGCCTAATTGTTAGTGCCAGTCAGGGAGCATCCGATGCAGGGCTCCTGCGGGTCTGCAGATAGCTCTGTTCTGCCCCCAAGGGATCCGAGGGGCCTCATTTACCACCGGCCCTCAAGGCCCCCCAGAGAAACAGGCCAGTTAGGTCGCAGCAGTGCTGTGGTTAATGGCGTCTCAGCTTATTCTTCTCTCTAGTTGAGTGGCTCATGGTCTTGGGGGAGGGGGGACAGTTCAGGCCCGTTATGGCTGGCTCCCTTCCATACCCTGCTGTGACGGCTGTCAAAGGGCATTCATCCCCGGAAGCCTCTGCTTACCTGCACACGAGACGTGGGAGTTCCTAGGCGGCTGACTGTATTCATTCTCCACGTGCGAGACTGTGGGGTTTTCAACCTGGGACCGGACCGTGGCCGTGTGGTTGCGATGGAAAGACACTGAGCAGATGCAGGAGACGGTGTCATTAGCCTGGCTGCTCTCTCCTCCTCCTCCCTCCCCACAGGGGCCTGGAATTTACATTTCTTGTTCCCTTTGTGTAAGGAGGGGGTAGGCACCCACAGCTTCTGTGGTGCCTCCCTCTACTTGCTTTCTTCCTGGGCAGGCTCTTGCTGGCAGGGGTCAGACTTTTAGAGCAGCTGGGGGTTGGCCAACAATCTGATTGGCAGGGTGGGCCTTCGGCCAGTCAGTTAGTCATTCATCAAACATTCACTAAGCAGGGAATTGGAACACAAATGATTGGGGCAGATTATAGACCCTCCTCTCTTGGAGCTGAGGAGCTTTGTATTGTTCAAAACAAAACAAAAACCCTTCACAACACAGAGCCTTCTTGAAGGATTTGGCCCTTGACTTGCAAAAGGGAAGGAAGAATGTGGAGTGGACAGTGGGAGGAGGGCCATAATTCCATCCGTTCGGTGGTCTGGCTGTGGCTGGGAGAGAGGATGAAGAACGAAGGTAGGGGATGGGCTAGCTGCCTCCAAATGGGTTAAAACTGGCCTTTTAAAGTTGTTCCGTGATAAAGACATTCCATGATAAAACTAGCTTGGACAACATTTCTTGTGAAAAATGCCCATTAAGGTTCTGATAAGTCCTGAAATAAAGAACCAAGTCTAATTTTGCTTAACTTCCCCAGTTCTAAACCTATGTGATCACAGAGTCCTCTTTTCGAACCACCACGTGTTAACGCCTGTTGACCACAGCCCCACCTTAGGTGAGCTTGGTGGAGATCAGGGGCCTCAAGTGGCTGGCGGCTCCTCCATCTGTGGTCAGCAGTGAACCGTGAGCCCCTGTGGACACTGGCCGGGGGCTGAGGGAGGACCGTGCCTCCGGGGACACTTACTGTTCTGGTTCATTCCTGTCGGGCCAATCCACTGGCGCTGCTTCTTCTGGCGGACTGGGCAACAGACAGGAAAGGCACATGAGAACAGGGGCTGCGTGGAGGTCGTGGGAGAGAAGGATGTGGGGGTTGGGGGATGAGGGGGGTGGAGAAGGGAGGAGGGAGGCCGCAGGTCCCACTGAAGGCAGGACTGCTGAACTTTGCCCCCCGAAGTCTTTCAGGGTCTCAGTTTTCTGACTTGCTCGGGAGGGTACCCAGACCAATCTCATGCTGAAGGACCTTGTCCAGAGGGGCCTGGTTCTCCAGGAGAAACAATCACAGGGCTTTAGAACCAGAATTAAGCCTAAGAGGGTGCTGGCGACCTGGCCAACGCTGTTCCCCTCCAGGCCGTCTCTTTTCAGCCTCTCTGATCTCCCTTCCTGCCTCTGAATAATTTTCTCCAGAGTTCTGCAAGGCAAGGACAATAGCCCCCTATATTCACAACAATCGCCCATTAGGTAGATGAACAAACTGAGGCTCAGAGAGGAAGTGGCTTATCAGCATCCAGCGCGCGGGTGGCTAGGGGGTGGAGCCAGGCCTGGAGAACCAGAGGCTGGGGGCGTGCCCCAGTATGAAGAATGGCCACGCCCTCCCAGCCTCCGCCCCGCCTCCCCCCCGTGTGCGCCAATCAGCATTCTTTACCACGTCTGGGCAGGAGAGGGGCGGGGCTGGGTGGCGAAGCTGAGGGGCCCTCCCGCCCATCCCGGCTCTTCTTAAAGGGGTTTGAAAGGGAGCGGGTTTGGGGCGCCCGCACCTACATTTCTTCACCAGTTTTCGGTAGGCATGAGGGCCGCACACGACCAGCAGCACGGCCAGGAGCACAAGGGCCAGGATGATGCTCATCACGGTGCCCGCGCCCGGGCCTGCGGGGTTTGGGTCATGGCCTGGGGGAAGCAGAGATGTCAGGGCGGTCCTGCTGGGGGCATCGGGACTGTAGGCTCAGAGAGAAGCTGCCAGCCGATTGGCGACCCCCCACCATCTGTACCCCCTCCGCCCTAGTTCCTTGGTAATTCACCAGCTTGTGCAGAAGGCAGTTATCTCCTCCCCCCTCCCCTCGAATTCTGTTACCTTCATCTGTCCCCCATCTTATCATCCAGCAATTCATCATCCAGCTATCATTTGCTACGCTTGGAATCAACTATTTAACTTTCTATCCTTTGCCTGTTGCTTATAAGTGATCACCTTGGCATCATATGCTAATAGCCATCCATCCATCCATCCATCCATCCATCCATCCATCCATCCCTCCCTCCCTCCCTCTCTTTCACGTGTTATTCTATCACCATTTCTCCCTGGTTTTTCTATGTTCCATCCCGGAAGAGTAGAAGATAGAATGAAAATTCTCTGGTTCCTTGTGGCCAGTCTCCAATGTGCCGTTCACGTTCACTGCTGTCTGAGCACCATCGCCCCTTCTTCCCCATTTGCCACCTGTCCATCCTTTCCTAGGGCGCCGGGGCCCTCTGTCTAGCGCCTGGATCCTGTCCTTCAGAAATGTGCTCACTGACTAGGTTCTAGAGAGAAACCCCACCGTGGGCCGTGGCCAACTCACATGTGACAAACACCTTCCTGCAGTAGGCTTTTTTCTCCTGAAGCTGATGGCATTGGGACAGCTTCTCCTGGGGACAGAAGAGCCCGCTGGAGGCCTCGTCGGCATCCAGCACCTGGTGGTAGCGGACGCCGCCACACTGTTGCTCCCGGCACACCTCGTCCCACCGCGCCGTGCCCTTGGGCCGGAGGCTGTCGCACAGGACTCCCCACTGCTTGCCCTGGCGCACCTCCACGGACCCCTCACACAGGCCGCTGCGTCCCACCAGGCGGCTCTGCACCTTGGGCTGGAAATCTGGAGATGGGAAGCAATGGAGGTCAGGTGGGAGGTTCGCAGGGAACTCCCTGGGCCCCTGGGCTACACGCCCGGCCACGGGGCCCCCAGGTTGCTGGCCAAGAGGTGGTCCCTGGCAGAGCCCAGCTCGTGGGTGGCTGGAACCACCTTTTTTTGTGTGTCCCTCCCTCCTTCTGGCATCTTCTGGCATTTCCCCCATCAAGCTCTTTCCCTGGCACCCGGGGCAGTGGCCAGTAGCTATCCTGAGGTGTGCGGGGACCAGCTCTTTCAGGGGAGAAGCTGGAGGAGTGGCGATGCCCACGGCAGCCACGGGAGGGAGTCGGTGTCCATGCAGGTGGAGGTAAGAGCCGAGCAGCGAGAGAGACGCCTCCCCCTGGGTCCACTTCCCTCTGGAAATCACTCTCATTTCCCTTCGGCTCCTTGGGGGAGGGGGACAGGTAGGAGCATTTTTCAGAAAGGAGAAACTGAGGCCCAGCATGGGACAGAACCCAGGAATCCTGCTGCCCAGCCTCGAGGTGTGGCTTTCATGAAAGGGCCTCGTCCTTTCAGAGAGAGACCAAATCCATTTCTGCTTGTCAGGGTGGGGCCCGGGGTCCATTGCCAGGGTCCATAGCCGAGGCCCACCTGTGCTCAGGGTCAAGTGACTTGTGATCTCACCAGCTTGGCTGGTTTCCATAGCAACATTTATCTTCGAGGCCCTAGTAAGTTTTCTATTTAGAAAAGCAATTCAAAGGCAAGACGTCTGGGTCTGTTTTGCAGGCTATAGCCCTCTGGAGGGCAGGGGTGGGGGGCGCTGAGAGCCACACGGTTTTCCCTCATCGGGCCAAGAACCCCTGGCGGGGGGACCACTGCTTCTACCTGGAGGGGCAGTGTTTCACTCATTCCCAATAGGTATCCTCCTGGGCTGGGGGTGGGGACAGGTCTGCTGGTGGGATAGGCCCGTGGTCCAGAGCAAAGCTTCCTGGGTTCCTGCACGCACACCCCTAGGACCTTGCTGAAATGCAGATCGGGTAGTAGATCTGGGGTGGGGCCTGTGCGTCTGCATTTCTAAGCAGCCCCATGAAGCCAGTGCTGCTGGTCCAGGATGGCACTTTAGGTGGCCAAGCCTTAGATAATGGGCTCTGTGACACCACTGGCGTGGAAATCCCAGCTGGTGCTCTGTGATCTTGGGCAGGACGTTTAACTTCTCTGAGCCTCAGTTTCCTCATCTGTAAAGTGGGGATAATAATAGCAGCCACCTCCTCAGGGTGTCATGAAAGTGAACGAATGTCCTGGGAACGTCCTGGCACCAAGTGAGTGCTTGGGAAGTATGACTCTTATAGTCTGGACTCCTCTGGAACCTTCCAATAATGGGAACCCACTGCCTCCCAAGACATCCTAGGATTATTCCTCATCTGACCTGTGGCCCTGGTTTTGGAGTCCCCTGGGCCTTTCTCTTTGGCCTCCTCCCCTCAGCCACACCAGATTACCCAGCCTTCTGGTGTCCTCCTTGCAGGCATCTCCCAGGAAGCTCTCTGGGGACCTGCTCTGGAATCTCTCTGCCTGCTGTGCCGCGGGGACCTCCCGCTTGTCCCCACCGCTCCACCCTCTTCTGTCTGGGATTTCCAAATCCCCTCCCGCAAGGCTGGTCCCGTCCAAGTGCTCCGTCTGCTCTGGTCCTTGGCACAAGTCACAGCTTCCGTGCTCTGCTCCACCAACCCGTGCCCCTCTCCTCCGTCCAAACCTACAAGGGGACCTTGCTTCGTCCTGGACGTCCTGCGGACCCATCACCTTCCCGGGCCGCTGCCAAGCCAGCAGTGCATTGGGCTTGTTCCGTGTTACTTTGCAGAGAGTCCCTGGGCGCTGGGTGATGAGTGGAGCCTCCCCACCCAGCCCTGTTTCCCTCCTGTTCATAGTGCCCAGCGCCCTGTGCTACATGCAGGGGTTTCCGGACACAGGCGTTGACCGACCACCTGGGGGCGCCCCGTCGGGGCCTCACCGGGTCTCACTCACCAGAACAGACGATGGCCAGAGTTTGGCCTCCCTCGCGGGGCGGGACTTTTCTGAAGCACTGCTCCAGCGAGGCGCAGCTGGCGTTGTGGATCTCCCATCGAACGGGCAAGGGCCTGCTCTGCCCCGGGTCTTGGGCCCTGGGGGTGTCGTCTTCTGGCAGACGCCTCAGGAAGGAGCCACACTGGAGGGCGTCACAGATACGGTCCTCCAGGCCCTGGGGCCAGTCCTGCGCCTCGTAGCTGATGGCTCCGCCCTGGCTGCCCCGGTAGAGCTCCACGACGCCGGCACACCGCAGGCCCCTGGGCCCTGCCACCAGCCGCAGCCTGGGAGGGGCTGCAGGGGGAGAGAGAGAGGGCAGCGGGCCTGAGCTCTTTGCCTCCAACACGTGGACCAATGAGAGACTGGCCGACAGCCGTGGGAGGTGGTGAGGCCCCAGATACCGCACAGGACACATGCAAAGCCTTTCCATGTTTGTCCGAAACTTAAATGCAACTGGCCGTCCTGTGTTTTTATTGGCTAAACGCAACCCCTGCCCCCTTTCCCCCACCCCCGGGAACCTCAGAATCCTCTTACCTGTGGGCTCCGGAGTGGTTGTGGGGGGCGGGGTCGTGGGAGGAGGTGACGTCCTGGGCGGCTCTGCAATGAGACACCCCAGTGAAGGAGAGGCGAGAGCCCTGGGGGGGAGGGCTGGAGGGTTCCCAGAGAGCCCGTGGGGTCGGGGGAATGCTGGGAGCCCCTGGCGGTTTTGAGAAAGACCTGGAACTCAGGATGTAAGTGCCACTTGCCCCATTTAGCCCGCTCGCCGCCTGGTCTCTATGCCTCCTGTGGGGCGAGGAGCACCAGCCCATTTCACAGTGGGTACAATGAAGGTCAAGAGGAGACAGTCATGTTGGCAATGGGCAGAATCCAGTTTTTGGCCTCTCCCTCCCCCTCCCCCTCCTCCTCCAGGTCCCCACTGGTGCATGTTTCTTGGGGGGGGGGTTATTGTCAGTCAGGACCCCCCTTCCACCTGCCTGCTCGGGCCCCAGATCCCAGGCCCTGGGCAGCCTCCTCGGGGCTGGTGCGCGGGCCAAGCCTACCCGTGTGGCCGGCGAGTTACCCACCCAGGCAGATGAGGCCCAGAGGGTCTCTCTGGTTTGTCTCGGCGAAGCTGCAGTTACGGAAGGACCCCACTTCTCCGTGGCAGGTGATCTGACTCCTGGGACTGTTGAAGTCAGGGAAGTGGGCAAAGGCCAAGGCCTCCCCGCAGGACAGCTGCCGGCAGAGATGTGAAGCCTTCTTGGGGTCCTCCCGGCGGTTGGGGCTCTGACCCCAGCTGCGGCTGGACACCGAGTGCCACACTTTGCTGTTCCTGGAGGCCTCCAGCTGGCCCTGGCAGTGCGAGTTGGAGCCTGTCAGTCTCAGGGTGACCTGGAGCCCTGGGGGTCAAAGAGGTGTGGGTCAGGATGCGAAGGGCCCTCCGTGGGGGACCCCTCCCGGCCTTCGCTCCACTGGGTTCCCACGCCCAGCCGGGCTGCCTGCCTGGATCCCCGGGGGCGCTGGAGGGACTTCCCAGGCACCGGGGCGGTCTCCCGAAGCCGGACCCCTGAGGACGGGGCTCAAGACCTCAGAGCCGCAGGCGCTGGGAGGGTCTCAGCAGCCATGCCCCAGCAGGATGGCCCCACTCCTGCAAATTCTGTTTCAACAGAAATAGGGCCTGGCGCCCGTTTTGATTTTTCTAACTCTTAAATCAATTTCATTAACACAATTTACACACAGCGAAATGCACTCATTTTAAGGGCCCTTGCTCCACGGAATTTGACAGATGTATGCACACATGAAACCACCCCTGTGCTTGAGATGAAGATCATTCCCGTCACCCGGAAAGTTCCCTGGGGCCCCTAGGGCAGTCCGCGTCCCTGAATCCCACCTCGGGCGACCACCGATCTGCTTTCTGTCGTGAAAGAGGAGTTTCGCCTCTTCTCAGATGGGAGTGGACTCGTAAGAGCGCATTTTTGGTTCTGCTGTTCTGTGTTTTATGTCTGGCTTCTTTTCTCTCAGTGTTTGGGGTCTCTCTGTGTCCTTACATGCCCCATGTTCGTTTTGTGTTGTGGAATGATGTCTCCCTGTGTGGCCAGGCCGCTGTCCGTGCCCCCAGCTGCCATTTGGTGGCTGTGAACCCAAAGTTGCTCGGAACCTTCCAGAACTGCTGTCTGTCTGTATGGGCCCGTGTTCTGTTTCTCTCGGGTGACTACCTAGGAGTGGAGTCATTGGATGACAGGTAGGAACATGGCTGGTGTGATTTTATAAAGCTCCGTGAGAGGGGGCCTAAGGGTGTATATTTGCTTCTGTGTAGGTTCTGAAAGGAGAGAGGAGAAAGGAATCCGCATGGCCGTCACCTGGGGTGTTAGGGTGGGGGAGGACTGGGCCGCTGGGAACCAGAACTGGAAATGAGATTCTTCACCCTAGGTCTTTTTATATTTTTAAAGTTTTAAGCCAGGAAACTATATTACCTAGCAAGATTTTTTTTTTTCCTTTTAATGTAAAAAATCTTTTCCGGGTGATTGGGAAGTGGAGATTGTTCCCTGGTTGGAAACTTCTGGTCAGGCTGCCTTTTGCTTCTGGGCTTGGGGAGCAGAAGCACAGGGCTAGCCCGGGCTTGCCAAGGTCACAAGTTAGAGACGAAGGGGGCTTGTTTCCAACACCTGACATCGGCAAGATGTTCTGAAGCTTTCCCTCCGGCGAGCAGACTAACCGAATCCCCACCAGGGAACAGGTATCCTCCCCATTTTACAGGCGGAGAAATCAGGGCTTATAGAGGACACGCCGCTTGCTAGAGCCCAGAGCTAGGATGCCGCGGTGGGGTCCCAGGTCCCCGGCAGGGCCCGCCAAGGCCCCTGCGGCCCCTTCTGGCTGCACATGACTTCACAAGAGTCTCCTGCCACGTTTCTCCCGAAATACATTCAGCACGTGATGTTATCTCAGGAAATGTGAAAGCTCGAGGTCTGGGGTGAAATGAATCTGAGAACTGCTGAGTTGAAAACCATTTAACAGTCTCTGCAGGACTTCTCAGGGGCTTTCCTGGGCCGGTACACTCAGTCAGTCTCTGGTGAGTGACACGATGTTGCCGGCTTTTGGTCCAGCGTGTTCCACGGAACCCTGTTTGGGAAACGCTAGCCTCTTATTAAAGTCCAACCTCGAAGGCAGGACATTCGAAATACTTGGGAGTCTGGTGCAGCCTTTCTCTGCAGCCGAGGCTGCAGATCTATTTGGCCAGGGAGATCTGGCAGGGCTGAGAAGGGAACAAGACTTTACAGGGTGTGTTTATGGGCCAGGATGCCTTCTGTGCCTGGTGACTGGGTTATAATGGTGATTATCACGAGGACTGGCATTTGAAAGGGGCCTTATGGCTGTGGAGGGCATCCACCTGCACATGGGCGTCTAAGTGTGTGTGTGTGCGCGTGCGTGTGCGTGTGTGTGTGTGTGTGTGTGTGTGTGTGCGCATGCGCACTGGGACTCGCGCCCTCTGTGGGATGGGGTTCACCCTGGCAGGTCCCCCTATAGCCTGATGGAAGGGCAGCCCCCGTAACCCTATGGTCCAGGCCCCCATATGCCTCTTCCTTACCTGAGCTCTCCCAGCTGCGCCCTCCCAGGCAGGAAGCGACTGCAGAAAAGAAAGACGAAGGTCAGGGAACGGAGCCTCCTTCCTGCCCCCCACCTTCCACCCTGAGTCCACGGCCGGAGCACTGGCCCCTTCTGCACCCTCCAATGTGGGGCTCAGAGGCAGGGAGTTTCATACGACACGTCAGAACCCCTGGGTCATGAAACCCATTTAGTGAGTTGCCACTATCATTTTTTTTTCCTGTTTTCAAACTTTCCTTTAAGGACGAGCATCAGTAACATTGATTTTCCTTTAGCGCACAGATCTATAAAAGTTAACACATGCGCAGATCTGTCTGATTGCCCTCCTGGTCAAGGTGACAACATTGCCATCACCCCCAGCATTTCCTCAGGTTGTCCCTTTGTGGTGCTGTGTAGGTGTGCAGCCATTTATTTTTTAAAAAATTCTGTAGTAATGCAACCATCAAATCTTTAAAAACTGAAATGGACTAGAACAGAGAATGGCCGAGAAGGTAAGGATCACTTCTTGTGCAGTCGGCTGCTACCTGAAACTGTTATGGGTGTTGCTTTCAATCTAAAAATGTTTGAACTTCAGGGGCACCTGGGTGGCCCAGTCAGTTAAGTTTCCTACTCAATTTCAGTGCAGGTCATGGTCTCACAGTTTCTGGCTTCAGTCCCCGCATGGGGTCTATGCTGATGGCATGGAGCCTGCTTGGGATTCTCTCCCTCTCTCTCTGCCCCTCCCCTGTTAGCTCTTTCTCTCTCTCAAAAGTAAAGGAAAACATTTAAAAAAATTTTAAAAATGTTTGAACTTCATAGTTGTAGAGAACCAGAGAACTGACCAGAATGGGAAACCCAGATCACATGTACTACTTTCTAGTATCCTAGGGTGGGATAGGAATGACAGCAATTTATTTTTAACAGCTCCCAGCTTCTAGCGGATGAAGTCGAAGCTCAGAGAGGGAGGGGCTGGCTCAAGGTAACGCACAAAGGGGTCAGGGCCACTGTCCCAGTGATCATGGGCCCAAGGCATCTGGCCTCCCCTCTGCCGTTCAATGGTAACATGGGCCATTGGGGAAGTCTGGCCTTCCCCCAGCCCCATCTGACTGCATAGGGGAGACAAACTGGCTCACGGCCGGACTCACAGAGCAGCCTGTGGCCAGTTCATCTGTGGCTGTGGCGGAGGTTTGCTTTGGGCCGGCACGGGGCAAAGGGCATGCTCGTGTGGCCCCAGAGCCCACCCCACCATGTGCGCCACTCAAGCTTTGTCAGGCATTAAGTAGGTATTTTGATTTCCTGACTCCTGGCCTTGCTTCTCAACTGGGAGCTGAGGCAGCTGGGTCACCACTTTGCAGAGTAAATGGTTCCATTTAAGTTGCTTTTGGAAATTATTGTCAGGTGTTAAACATGGTTTGGGGCGCCTGGGTGGCTCAGTCGATTAACCATCTGACTCTTGATTTAGGCTCAGGTCGTGATCTCACGGTCGTGAGTTTGGACCCCGCATCGGACTCACTGCTTGTCAGTGCAGAGCCTGCTTGGGATCCTCTGTCCTCCTCTCTCTGCCCCTCCTCCTCTTTCTTTCTCAAAAAAAAAAAAAAAAAAATTTTTTTTTTAAATAGGTGTGTTTAAAAAAGCCCGTTTCTGCCTGAGTGTTCTGAAGCTGGTGGTAGATTTGTAAGGGAAGACATGCCCCGGCCAGCCAGCCTCCTCCCTGCAGCCAAGACTCCTTGTAGTAAAGCCGTCATGGCACCGTGGTGCTCAAGGCTGGCATGACTGGTTGTGGAGCTGGCCGGACCTGGGGCAGGGGTGGGGAGGACCACGGGCCAGCCAGGGAGCTTTCCCGGCAGGAGGAATCCCTGTCCTGGATGCTTGTAGATAGGTAAAAGGGCTTGCCAGATAAAAGCCCTCAGCACCTCTCTCTCCCACTTGACACCATCATATTCCCAAGGTCGCCACAGTCAACATTCATTATTAACAGCAGCTAGCAATTATTGTGCACCTACTGTGTACTCAGCACTCAGGATGGTTCCTCACATATATCATTGTTAATCTCCCTCACGGCCCTGTGATGGGAGTTGTTCCAAACCCATGCCCTCCGCCACCTAGTTGTGCCTCCGAAGTGCCGGGTTTGGGGATGCAGAGATGAACGTGACCGAGACCCTGACCCCGAGGTGCTCCAACCCTCAGACATTAAATCCTCTGGGGGAAGGGGGTAGACCAGACCCTTCTTGCAGATCTCACACAGAATGCAAAATGGCTCCGCTCAGAGAACATTCTTGGGAAAGAATGAACATGAGAACTAAGTAAAATCCCTAAACGCTCTGTGGAAGAAGGGGGTCTAGGCATCCCAGGGCTTGGTCTCCCTCTGGGTGCCTGATGTTCTCAGCAGAGCAGCGTTTCCTGGCTGTCCCTCCTTCACCACCATCGCCATCACCACCGCCATCATCACCATCACCCATTACTGCCACCACCACCATCATGCTCACCATCACCAGCAACACTTACAGCGCTCACACTTCTATCCAGGCATTGGGATACATTAACCCTCTCGAACTTCACCAGAGCCTATGAGGCAGGTGCTAGTAGTTTGATCCCCATTTTATGGATGAAGAAATGGAGAAGGATTAACTTGTTAGGCATCTGATGAGGGTTGGGGCTGGTTCTCCAAGCCCGGCCATCTGTCACTGACCCTGTGCTTTTGCGTGCCAGGCCAAGCTGCCTCCCCGCCCTCCCTGCCCCGCATTGCACCCACGTCCTGCGTGCTTCGTGGCGTGCCAACCTGCTGAAAGGGAATGAACTGGGAATTCCATTCAGGTAGTGAAACATGCCATGGGGGGGCTTTTCCACGAACTTGCTCTGTGACCTTGACAAGTCACTCGGCCTCTCTGGACTTGATGCCCTCCCTGTAAAATGAGGACGTTAGACTCCACGATCCCTCCCCTTCCTCCCGGTTCAGACCCCTCTGATTTATAATCTTTAGTTCCCGATGTATCTTGGTGGCCGGGAGGGGCCAGGCAGAAGTTGACGGTGAGAGGTGTCGCTGACTTGGTGGCTTCCTGGCTGTCCAGAGACAGGTTCAAGTTTCCATTGTCCATGATATGTTTTCATTCTCTCAGCTGCTTCTCACAGGGGTCCGACCCACAGCCTCTTTCCCCCGCAGATTGGGCTCCTGTTTTCTCTGAGACCCTCTAGGGCTGCGGCTTAGCCAACCCCCGTCTGCATCCTGAGGCCCAAGGCTCGACAGCTGCAGAGGCTTCAAACAGAGGCCTGGAGCCCCCGGAAGCCATGAGGGACACGAGGCACGGACACACCGTGCTGTTTCCTAGTCCGCCCTCCCCAGCTGGGGCCAGGAACGAGAATCCTCCAAAGGCCCCTCCTCTCCCCTGCCAGCCGTCCCTCGGGGCCCCACTGTTTCAGGCTTGGAGTGGCTGAGCCCAGGCAGAGCTTAGGGCTGAGAAAGCCCAAGAAAGGCAGGTGGCCATTTCCCTCCCCCGAGCCCGCCCTTCATCTCCGCATTTACAGAGATTGAACCATCTGGACCCTGCCTGCCCAGGCGGGAGCTCAATGAGGAGTAAACGCGTTCTGGAAAGCAGCCCTGAGACTTCATACCCTCCCCCCCCTCCCCCATCCTCTTGAACCCACAGCTTTCCCGGTGATTCTTATTTTGGTTTTCGGTGCTGTAACAGCATAGGCTGCATCAGGCCGTGGGTGACTTTTATCTGCCCTGCAAGGGGCTTAATGTTTTTTCCAGCCAGTTAAAAAAAACAATTTCTTTCTGTTTTGTTTTGCTTTAAAAAAAAAGTTCCAAAGATCCAGATGTTTTTGAAAGCTAGGATGCTCTGACCACATCAGGCCGCATCGCTGCGAGCCCCGGGCAGATGAGCTCCAGTTTGCCAGCACCCCCGAGGCACCCTACTGTCACCCCGTGTCTGGAGAGCCCCAGCCTCAAACACACGATAGGTTCTGCAGCGAAACACATGAATTTTCACGCTAGGTGGGATGCGCAAGATTATAAATAGCCCTCCATTTGTTCAGGTCAGGATTTGCACCAACGGCGTCTTCCAGAAATCTACAAACATTTCTGGGGGCGGGTGTTGGAATTGCAGACGAATGTTCGTGGACCCATGTGATGGGCTCCACTTTGCGGTCCTCAGCAGTGCTGGGACTGGGCCCAGTCCAGCCGGCCCCCCGCGCACTCGCAGGCCCTGCGGGGACCCATGCATCCCCGGCTTTGCAGCCAGCACACGCGGGGAAGTGGAGGCATGACGGCCAGGTCCCTGGGAGTGGCTGGGACAGCACTGAGAGTCACAGTGACAGTGAACGCTGATGGAGCTCTGACCTCGCGCAGACCCCAGGCCAAGCTTTCTTCACGGCAGACTCCACCTCCTCTCGACAGCCTCACCGAAGGGGACTGTCATCACCCAGTTTCCTGGATCAACAAACGGATGGACTTCGTGGGGCTTGGAGGTCAGATGGTCCATAGTTTCCGTAAACAATGATTCCCTCGAATAGTCCTTAAACGTCTCACCGATTTACAGCAAACACCACGCATTGGGCTGCCTTTTGGGGGCATTCTGGATCTTCCTTTCGTCCCCTGATGAGAGGCTGACTCGGAAGGGCAGAACCCCTCCTTTCCTGAAATGACACTAATCAGCGTCATGACTAACCTGAGTCTGTATGGAGGCTTCAGGGAAACAAAGATCACAAAGGCCCCAAATTCTGTTTCTCGATCGAACCCCAGACGAAGTGGTTGGCCTTTGATTGGGAGTCTTTTTATGTGCAGAGCGCGCAGGGTCACACTGAGCTGATGCCGAGGAAGCCTGGGGGAATGGTTCCCACAGAGGTGCGGCAGCTTCGAGGCTTTCATCCTGCTCAAGGGGCCTGCGCCGTCCCACCCAGCCGATGCCAGCCTGTCGCCAGCAGAACAGTCGGCACAGTCTACACTGTGATGGCCCTCTCGCTGGTGCCCTGCTCTGTCTGACTGAATTTGCATGAATTTCATGCCACACAGGCGTCTCCATGGTGACAGTGAGAAGCACTCCATTTTGTTCAGAGCTTCGCATATCCCAGAGTTTTTTCTACCCACAGTCCCGGGAGGATGGGCCCATGCTCATTCTCATTTTCAGATCGGGAAACCGAGGTTCAGAGAGGCAGAGCGACTTGCCCAAGGTCACACGGCTTGTGGATGGTGGAGTGAGGACAAGAAATCCCATCACCATTGCTTGATAGGGCCCTATGGGAATCTACCACTGGGAGAACTGGGAGCCTGCTTACCCTGGGGGACAGATAGGGGAAACTGAGGCCAGCAAGGGAAGGGCTCAGTCTAGATGCCTCCAGGGGAGTCTGCGGTGGTACAGGGCCCTTTAAGCCCCTGCCAACCACCACTTATTCCCTACCCTGTCCCACACCATCTGTCACGGCTGTTCCCCAAGGGACAAGGGAGTCCCAGCGTCCCGGTGGGAACCAGACATAATGATGTTGATGGCAGTATGGTGACGGTGTAGCTATGGAGGAAGTGATTCAGGGCCATCACCCCTCATCTGCAGCTCAAAACCCCAAACCAGAAGTCTTCCCTGGTGCATTTTGCGGGAGGGAGTTTGCAGCCTTTCTGGGCCTCTCTTAGGGTGTGAATTCATGTTTCACTGGATGGGAACATGGGAGTGGCCCAAGACCCCGCTGGCGTGCGGCGGGCACCCAGCACATACACGGTATGACCTGCGATCTGGAAAATTCTGAATTCCCAAACGCATCTGGTGAGGCTGGGGATACGGGTGTGTAGACCTGTGAAGGTGAGGGGAACCATTCCTTCCAAGGGCCCTCATCCCGCTTCCCCTTCTACTCTGCCTGCACGGCCCCTCCCTGCCAGCCTGGGTGTCCCCCAGGCCCTTCTGCCTGGATCATCCTCCCCAGTCCCACCCAGGGTGAACCCTCACTTCCTACAAGCATTTGCCCAAATATCATCTCCTTGTGAGATCTGCTGCCCCCTCCCTGTGTAAGCACAGCGCCCCCCCCACCCCGCTGCCACTCCCAACCCCAGCCCCACCTTGCACATGACCTCCCAGCCCCCGTGCCATCATCGGTCCCCCCATCACACTCCGACTCCCAGGTTGGACCCACCGGCGGACGGATCACTATTGTTCAGTTGTGTCCCCAGCACTTAGAAGAGTGGCCAGCCTATAGTAGGTGCTCAGTAAATGCTTGCTGTCTGAATGGATGAACCAGCTTTAACAATTGCATTGTCCCTTAAGGTGGGCATGGTGGTCATCCCCATTTTTTAGATGAGAAGGCTAAGATTCTGGTGTTCACCACATTTGTGAGAGGCTGATAGAAATCAAACTCCAGTCCGAGTTACTCTGAAGTCCCACAGGCCTTCACCCACATGTGTGTGCACAGAATACATATGCACACAAGGACACACCGCATGCTTGCTTGGGTTCACACATGCACCCACACGTGTGTGTGCACACACAGGTGACCAATCGCTTTTATCAGGTGGCATTGAAGTCCCTCCTTGGTCTCTGTGGGGAAAACCCTGTGAAGTGTTGGCACTGGACAGAGTGACTGACTAGAAGGGCTAGTGACAGTCCCCTGAGCCCCCGGGTCCCTCTCTTCCCTGGGGAAGGAAGCTGGCCGCTGGCTTCTTTGTTCCCAGAACCAGCAAGGCCCTCAGCCTCTGCATCGTGGAACAGCACAGGCCGGGCAGCCCACTCGCCCACTAGGGCCCCTCTCCCCTCCCCTCGCATGGAGGCCCAGCCCCTCTGGGGCCTGTCGTGACCATGGCGCTTGCCCTTGCCAATGCCAAGGGCACGCTTCCCTCTTTTCTCTGCCTGGCTGGCTCTTTCCTGCATCCATGTGGTTGCCGAGTCTCAGCTGTTGTTGTTTCCTTCCTCATACTTAGCATGAGATTTAGAGAAATGCGTGAGTATTTGGGGCCCCCTTGCTCGGGACTGGCTTTCCCCAGTGCTCTTCCACAGAGCTGGACACACAGTAGCTCCTCCGTAAATATTTGTGGATGGAGAAGTGAAGGCGTGAATACTCTGTGTAAGGGGATGGGGGAAGGGAAAGGTTGGTGGCCAGGCTTGCGTCTGGGAAGACTGCTCCACCAGGCCCTACCCCACCTCGTTCCCTGCTGACCCCGCCCCGACAATGACGTTGGTCATTGGTACTATGGTCATCCATGCTCACTGAGCACTTACTACGCTCTAACCAACCTTCCTAGTAAAAGCTCTGCGTGCATTGATTCATCTAATCCTTATAAATCTCTACGAAACACATGCCGTGATTATTCCCATTTTGCAGAGGAGGAACCTGGAGCTGACAAAATGGTCCAAGGTCACCCAGCTGGCAGGTGGCAGAGCCCATGACTTTGCCATGCCTCCGTGCTGGCTTCTGGAGTCCTGGTGGCTGGGCCGGACCCTCAGGGCTGCCTCCACATGCCTCCCCCTGCTAGGTGAGCCCCAGCCAGGCTGGGGTTAAGGGCAGCGACGGAAAGGAACGGCTGTTGCTATTGCCCCAGGGGTAGTGCGGGCATCTTGTGCCCCAAAGGTCCCCACATCCCTGGCACAACCTTGAAGGCCAGCCAGAGACGCGGCGTCCCCAGGGGTCTGGTGGTCGGGCGTCTCTTCCTGGAATAGCTCAGAGGGTCTGCATGCTGTCTGCCCCCAGTCCCAGCGCTGGCCCTCGGTGTCCCCTGCCTTCGGTGTCCCCTGCCCTCCGTGCTCATATCTGCAAGTGGCGGTTGTGTTTTGCAGCCATTTTCTGACTTGTGGGAGTGGCTTTGGGGTGTCTGTGCCCTTCGGGTCCAGGGAGCCTCCGAGATGCCGGGAGTGCTGGGCTGGGGGTCGGCTCTGCCTCTCACTAGTGCCGTGTCCGAAGGTCGTCTCTCGGCTTTTCCGGAACTCAGTTTTCCTGACTGTAAAATTGGGGCCGTGGGCCTGCCTACCTCCAAGGCTGTTGTGAAGCTTCCAGAAGAAAATGGCTTTACAGGTCTTTTGTAAGCTGTGACCCATCGGACAATGGGCATGTTTATTATGCATCAGTTCCCACAAACACACACTGGGAACCATGAGCTCCTGGGGTTCCAGATGGTTCCGTACTCCCTCCCGGAGAAGGGGCTGCCTCTAAGTCTCCCTGACTCTGGGCCCCGCTGGGCTCGGGGGGCTGCCCCATCCAGCCAGGAGCCTGGCGCCATGACGGGATTCAGAGGGGAGGCCCATCGAGCAGGGTCCCATCCCCGTCCTCAGCTGGGAGCCTGGCCAGCCTCCCTGCCCCAGTAGGGTCAGAGATCACAGGTCAGGGACAGCTGGGGGGCTTCAGGTCCCCATGGGGACATCAGCCCTGGGGACAGAGGGGATATTGTATCTCTTGCAGTTTCACGTAGGAATAGCCATGTGAGCATGTGTACACATGCGCCATTGTCTGTGCATGGGGGATGGGGGGGAGGTAAACCTACATTTGGAGACCATGTCTGGCCTGTGAAGACACACACACACTTCTCATACACACACACGTGCAAATTTACACACACACCTCCCTGCATATACACACGTTCATACCTACTCACGCACATGTACTCAAACACCACGCACCAAGCCTGTCTGGGAGGGGCCGAGGCCCCCTGTTCAGGCAGGCAATGGTCCCCGCATCCTTTCCCTCCAACTGGGAGACCGCAACACCCTTCACTTCCCGCCTGTCCTGTGGGCAAGCATCTCTCTCGCCCCTCGGTAACCCCCAAGCCCCAGAGCAGGGGTCAGACCTCAGCCAGTTTACCCCCTGTTTTTCAGAAACGAGGAGACCACCAGCTTCCACCAACTCCCTCCCAGCAAACAGGAGGCCCCAGTCTCACCCACCCCTACCCAGCTCCTCAGAGGCCCCGGGGGGCTTCCACAGTGGCCCTGGGGGCTCAGGTTCTGAAACCCCGAGAGCGGACCCAAGCGTGTACTTGCACCCTGGCTGGCGGGCCTGGCTGGGGCTCCCCTGGGACAGAGGGTGCATGTCTGACGCATGCTTAGCTGTGTTCTCAGAGGCGGCCCCCACCCTGCCCTGGACCACGGTGCTCAGAGCATCATCAGAACTACCCAGGAGGCCATGGGTCCCCTGTCCCTGGTGCGTCCTGGTAAAAGGTGGAGGGACCCTCAAGGCTTGGGGGGGTGCAGCTGCAGAGGAAGCTCGAGCCAGGTGGGCACTGGATGACTTGATTTCTAGGCGAGAGTCTGATTTGGCACGGGTCCCACCTGGAGGGGTGCAGGAAGACCCCTGCGGTGCAAGAGCCACGCAGATTGGGAACGAGTGGTGGAGGGATGGGATGGGGGGGGGACGAGCAGGGCGGCCTCAGCCCTCCCTGATGCTCCAGAGAGGTGGCATGCGGGCCCGAGTCAGACCAGAGCGAGAACCGGCGTCCCCTTCCTTGCACCCCCGAGCCCCAGTCCCCGCTACATGCCCCAGGTGGGGTACTCACCCAGCACCCCCAGCAGGGACAGGGCGGCCAGTGGCGGTTGCTGAGACCCCATGGGCGCGGCCTCCTCCTGCCTCAGCCTCGCCAAGCTTGGCACCCGTGGGTGAAGGGTGTCTGGTCCTGGGTCTCCCTCTCAGGGAGGAGGGGTGGGGCGGGCGGGCGCAGGCAGGGGTGGGACAGGGGAGCAGGCAGGCGGTGTGGGGCCTGCGTCATCTGTGTTTGAAGTTGAACTGTCAACTTCCTCCGGGTAAAACCATCTGCCCCAGTTCGAATGGCGGCCCGGGCCCCTGGCAGCTTCCTGCCTGAGATGTGCAGGGCTGGGGCGGCGCTCCCCACGGCACCACGCTGGGCCCAGCAGCCAGCCATGCAGCCCCTCTGGGGGTCGCCACGGCATTGGGGAGCCCCGGGCCCGGGCTGCGCAGAGGGAGGAGGCCTGGCCCCACGGAGGGTAGGCGCGAGGGGGACAGAGGGGGCAGGGCCCCAGCCCCCGGGCAGGGGTGGCGCTGAAATGGCATTGAGCTGTGCTAGGTGGTGAGCAGGGGGGCTTGGGGGTCACCACACCCGTCCTCACCGCAGGCCCGAGGCCCTCAGTCTCCCCTTCCTGGGAATGAGATGGGAATTAGAGGTGAATCTCTAACAAGCACAGAAGAGAGCTGGGCTTGTGCTGGGGGGTGTGCGTGTGCGTGTGCGTGTGTGTGATCGCTAGGTCAGTACACATGATTTCCACGTTGGACTGTGGCTCCCGCAAGCGCAGGAATCAACCTTTGGCCTGTTGAGGAAGAGGCAGGGTGGCCGGGTTTCTGCAAAATGACCTGGGGGAGCTGGGGCGCAGGGGAAGGGCCGCAGCCACCCCACCCCCACCCCTACTCCGAGGGCCTGGGCCCGGTTCAGCCCCTCTGCGCTCCAGGACGGAGGTAGACCCAGACCCAGGCTCCCTGAGCCATTGCAGGAGGCTTGATGAGGTTCCGAGTCAAGAGCACAGCTGACTGTGAAGAGGTGTGAAGCGAACGTGAAGGCCTCGCGTTCACACCCTTCCCACCCTGCTCCTGCTGGGCCCCGCCTTCCCTGCACCCTCAGATAGCCTCAGCAGCTGCCCAACACCCGCCTGCACCCGCCTCGCCCCACCCCACCGTCCCGCATCCAGCGTTGCCCCATCCCCCTCGGAGGGTCTCAGGTGCCTGGGGCAAAGCCTGGGGAGCTGGGAGGTAGCAGTGCTGGCGGGGGTGGGGGGACACTGACCACCCCATGCAGGATTCCTGGGGGCCTCGTCCCCTCCTCAGAGGTGACACTGCCTTAGCATCAGCCAGCCCCCCCACCCCCCCAGGCCCTGCCCCCTGCCCTCACATCCTTCTTGTCCTGTGACTCTGGAAATCCCAGGCTTTTTTATTCATTCAGCAAAATTTTGTCCCGCGCTAACCATCAGGGATGCAGACATGAAGGGGACAGAGGTGGGCCCCACTCTGCTTACAGTCCGACGACCCCTCTGGATAAGTTTTCTCTTAAAGACTCCCTGTTTAGGAAGCTTTTATTTCGTGGGGCGCTTGGGGGGTTCAGTCGGTTGAGTGTTCCCCCTCCTTGGTTTTGGCTCAGGTCATGATCTCACAGTTCGTGAGATCGAGCCCCGAGTGGGGCTCTGCGCTGATGGCTCGGAGCCTGCTTGGGATTCTCTCTCTCCCTCTTTCTCTGCCCCTCCCCTGCTTGTGCTCACTCTCTCTCAAAAATAAAAATGAAAAAACAAAACAAAACAAAAACAAAAGAAAGCAAGCAAGCTTTTATTGGTCACACTCGGTCCACATATTCAGTGGTCCTTCACACCCTGGGTTACCACACGCAGCTTACGGAACTGCAACTTTCAAAGGGACAAGGGATTTTGCAGAGCACCTAAGTGAGCCCGGGATGTGGCCTCTTTTAGCCTTCCCAGCCATCGCAGGGAAGTGGGTGGAGTTTTCCATTTCACAGATGAGGAAACTGAGGCTTAGAAAGCGATGCACTTGGCCTCAGGAGGGCAAGATTAAGACGTGAAACCACGTCTCTCCCTCTTCAAAATCCTTGCCACTCCCCCCCACCCCCACATACCAAAAGCAAAGAAAACAAACAGAGAATGTGGCTTTTTATGTGATCCCTGAGACTTCACTATGGATAAGGCTGTGGGTTCAAATCTTTTCTGTTTGTTTTTGGAAAGTTGAAGCACCTTGGGGCCCCTGGGGCTTGGTCCCTGACCCGTCCTGGTGAAAGGACACCTCCACCCAGGCCGGTGAGTCCCCCTCCTCTTCCTTCTCTACCCTCCCTCTGGGTGCTGAACCCCCCTCGAGTGGCCCTTCCTGCCTCCCAGGCTCACAGTCCCCCATCAGACCCCAGATCCCAGGTGGGAGTTTCCTGTTCTCAGCATCGAATTTTCCATGACACAAGAGGAAGTCAGCTAAGCTAAGCGAGGTTGGGTTTTCCAAGCAGCTGGGCCGGGCGGGCTGGCGGGCGTGGTGGGTGAGGCCGAAGGGGCAGGGAGGGGAGTTAGCAGCCCCCAGGGCCTGGGTGTCAGTACCTCCTCGGCCCCTGCCAGAGAGGCGCCCGCCTGTGCCGCCTGGCCCGCACCAGGTAACCCGGGGGTGTGCGTGTGTGTGCGTGCAGTCTGTCATCCGGGCTCTGTGACTCCCCAGCGCCCCCAGGATTTGCCCTCTTGCCAGTGCAAAGGGGCCGCTGGGGTCGCCTGGGGAAGGGGGAGGGGCTGAGCACTGGGAGGCTGGAGAAGAGGAAGGAGGCCCAGAAGTGTGCCTGGTGCCTCGTAGGACCTCAGTGTTTGTTGAATGAATGAATGAACCTAGGCAATGGTTGCCAAAGACCTTGGGGATGTCCTGGTGGCCAGAGGAGATGTCTCTGCTCTGCAATGAGGGGAGCAGGCTTTGCAGAAGGATCCCCCGCACCCTGTACCAGGAAGTGCATCCCTTCCCCCCGACCTTTGCTCCCACTGTGTCAGATCATTGGTGGGGGGGGGGGGCAGGAGGAGGGAGAAAGTGATCATGATAAGATCGGATTCTGGCTCTGGATGGACAGCTGAGGGGCGTGCAGGTGGGTGGAGGGGCTCTGGCCCTGGAGGGCGCCTGCGTGCTGATGTCCCCAGACTGCCCGGTGGATGCTCAGGGCTTCAGATGGCTTACCTGTAAAACATGGGGTTAAGTGATCCTGGGGCCAGTTCTCTTGTTCTAGGACCCCCCACTCCCCGGGGGCTGTGCCAGTCTGTTCTCTGTTCTGGGACCTGAAGGGTTTGACTCTTTCTTTTGTGTGACCGGGTGTCAGGCGCTGGGTTTTTGGCCAAAGGCAGAGGGCGGAAGATTGGAGGTTATGCTGGCGAGGGGGTGTGCTGGCTCTGTGAGGTGGCTCGGTATGTGCACTTCCCCGAGTCCCAGGTAGGTGGGGCTGCCCTCGAGTGTCTGTCCAGCCTGCAGGGATGGATGAGGGCACCTTCCCCCCAAGTCTTTCCCAGCCCCTCCTGCGAGTTGAGTTTTGCTCTCTGACAATACTGGCCTCATTTCCTGGTAGTGAAATCTTGGGTATGTGACTCAAGCAAGTTACCTAGACTCCTCATCTGTAAATCATGACAGTTTGAAGAGGAAGCAGAATCATCTGGGTAAAGGGCAAAGCATAATCATGGCTCCTAGGAAGGGCTCCGGGAACCTTGATTATATTACGATGAACATTTCAGGGTGGGGAGTAGAAGGTTTGGGGGTCTGGAAGCTGACTTTCCCTTCTGACTAGGTGAGTGACCTTGGGCAATTTGGTTTCCCTATTTTGAGATTCCTTTAAAAGATGGAGCCTGGGTGGCTCAGTCAGTTAATCATCCAACTTCAGCTCAGGCATGATCTCATGGTTTGTGGGTTTGAGCCCCGCATTGGGCTCTGTGCTGACAGCTCAGAGCCTGGAGCCTGCTTCGGATTTTATGTGTGTGTCTCTCTATCTCTCCCCGACTCGTGCTCGCTCTCTCTCTTAAAAATAAATAAACATAAAAAAAAAAAAAAAGACAGTAGGGAATGATAGCTATGTTGCAGGGCTTCTAGAAGTTTCCATTATAATGATACAAAGGGTTTGCAAACTCTAGCGCAATCTTTTGAGGGTGAGGGCTGGTCAGCTGAGACCTCATCTACCCCAGCCGACCCCAGGGCCTCCTCACACTTCCTTGCTGGGGCTCTGTGCATGGGGGCCCAGAAGGTGACCTGGAATGAACTGACCTGCCCTTTCGCTCTGGCCCCTTACCCCCACTCGAGCCTGCTGCAGGCGTTCCAGTGGTGGGTGTGCAAGAGACACAGCCCCAGCCGCTGGCTCCATGGTGGGTGCCAATCACACATCTCAGGGACTCGGGGTTCATGGTTTCTCTTCTGTTGTTCCTCTAAGCAAGACTGGGCATCGTTTTGATTAAGAAAATAAGACCACTGAGTAGATAGAGGAGGACAAGTGTTAACCAAGCCCATTTTTCAGGTGAAGTAACAGAATCAGAGAGGCACGGTGAATTCCCCAAGGCACACAGCCAACTGGCAGTGAGGTTTGGACCGGGCCCCCAGGTCTCCCGGCCGGTGGGCCACCCTTTGCTAGTACAGTCTCTCTTAGATCTCGGACTGGTACTTCCCCTGCCCTTTGAGGGTTTTGCTATGTTACAGTAGACATTGTGGGGGCCCAGGAGGCTGACAGACTGGCTGTGTGTCCTGGTCTAGTGGGGCCACAACCCGACAGACAGCTGGGACAGAACACCAGAAGGGCTAGGCCCGAGGGAGCATGGAGGACGACCTATGTCCAGTCCAACCTCTGGGAAAGTCAAGGAAGGCTCCCTGGAGGGGGTGACATCCAGGCTGAGACCTGAAGGGCGAGTAGGAGTTTGCCAGTTTGGTGGTGGGATCAGGTTTTCCAGGCGGAGGGCAAAGGCCTCTGGGTCCTGTTAACACAATAACCGTGTAACTATAAGTAAGAAAGGTCTAGAAGCTGGGGCACCTGGGGGTCAGTCCCTCACTGGCTCTGTGCCTCGTGTGGATTGTCCCCCCCACCCCAGGGCTCAGTTTATCGATGAAATAAAGGGGCTGCACCAAATGGTCCCCAAGATTTCTTAAGCTGTGAGTTAAGGCTTGAGATCTTGTTTAAAGGT